GACTCTTAAACAGCATTTTGTTCTTGTTTCACATCTCTGAGGACAGTAGTAAGGTTCTTAAGTCATTAGTTTTAGCCAAGTTGCTTTTTCCTGTAATTTGCTTATTTATGTAGGCTTCTGTCTTTCATATTAGCCCCTCCCCAGGTGCTGAGTATCTATGTAAATCTGCTGCGCAGGTCTATCATTATGAAGCTGGTTAACTCAGTTTCCTTTACTGGGGGTTAGGTTGCTCTTGCTTGCTCAGAAAGAGTATGTTTTAGTCTCCTACCTGGGGCATGCTTGTTTGTTTGGGTTCTAGGAGTTAAGCCGTGAGAAAATTAGGATCTCCTCTCAGTGTGCACATAGTCATTTAAGCACTCTGTGCTTACTTTTAGTTTATTTATCGTCATCAGTATCATCATCATCGTTATTATTATTCTTGTTATAGTTCTGTGTATGGAGGGGGGTGTGCATGTGCCACAGGGTGTGTGTAGAGGTCAGAGGACAGTGTTCTTCCATCTTAGGATGTGGGACTTGAACTCAGGTTGATACAACTCGCTTGTATGTGATGAGCCATCTTGCTACTAGTCCAACTGCTCTCTCTTCAGAATGTTCTATTTTCCTTGGATTTGTTCAGTAAACTGTACCATAATTCTTGGACTGTTTTTTTCTTTTACGAAAATGAACTTGGAGTTTCCTGCTAGATGGAAAGGAAACCCTGCCTGTGTACACTATCTTAAAGACAATGTAGCAGCATCCTTTTCTACAGACTTAATATGGATACATGTTATTATTTAATACATGGCACAGGCCTCAACTATACCATTTATTCCTAACTATCCTTCATAGTGATGTGTTAGGTTTACCTATCTTAGTGGTTCATGACACTGACATGACAGGTCTAATGTTTGATGTAAAGTCTCCCAATTTAGATTTTCTGGTCATTTCCTCATGCTTAGTTAGGGTTATGCATTTCGGGAGATTATTTTATGGATGATGCCATATTCTCTGCCTCAGACAAGGAGGGACTCAAAACCTCAGTTTTGTATGGCTCAGCAAGACTTTCGACCATCTGGTTAGGGTTTTGCCTGCCAGATTTGTCTGTTAGGAAGGTTCAGTTCCCCTTATAATTAACAAGTGATTCATGGGGCTATGCTTTCAGACCATGGAACCTGTTAAAGAATAGGAACAAAAGTTTTGTTATCTGGAGATGACTCTTTCCTGAATTGATGATGACTATGCTAGAAGAAAATGGCAACATCTAACTTTATTGTTTCCTCTACTAAATGGCTGGCAGAAAATCACATCTAAAAATTTTCAAATCAGTTCCTGGTTTTTAGCACCAGGTCACCCATGTTCAGAGTTTCTGGACACTGCCAGCTCCTGAAGGTTTTGAGCTCCCTGTTTACGCTGGCTTACTCCTGGGCTTTCCTTCCTGACAGTTACCACTTGTCTGTGTGCTTTCTAGATACTAAAACAGAGTTGTTATCTTTGTCTTTTAAAATGCAACCTGTTGCTGTCATTTCCAGAAGACTTGTAAAAGTGAACTCCTATGTTTCACTTCCCAATTTAAGAATGCCCACTAGCTTTCTCTACTTCCAAGTTTACATCAATGACACCCCAAGCGGAATCTTCTGTGATTTGCCTTTTTGTACAATTCCATGCTTTTTGAAATTTACCCATGTTCACACTTCAGTTCTGCATCAGTCATTTTTAAGTAATGATGCTGGATCCCAGTATGTGAGCATGCTGTAATATTCCATCACATTCCTAATAATGAGAGATTTGGTATAAGAAGGGGTTGTCTACTTTTCATGAGAACACTTACTCCATCTCTGTAATTTAAGTCTACAGGAAAGTAGGGCTACATATGCAAAACGTCAGACTTAGGACATTTCATTTCAGCAACTTGTAAAATGAGCCTAATAATACTGAGCACAGAGAACCCAATAAATATTGGTCTCTTGGAGACAACATTGAAATAGGCCTCAAGAATTCAGAAGCAATATTCCACTCTGAATGTTAAACTGCAAAATCGACATATTACAGGCCAGAGCAGAGGCAAGGAATAAAAACAGAAATCAGGCCAGGAGCAACTGACCATAATACAACTGCCGTACCCCATACAAGAGGGCATTCCCTCAGAATGGGAAGCACACAAGAGGAGGAGACTCAGGAGACAAATGCTGGCAGACAATCCAGATAAACACTGTCCCCCAAAACGGAAGCCTTTACGGCACCTGGAAAGCTTCTCTTCCACCCAGAAGGTTAAGGTCCTGAATGGTACGGAGAGACACTGGGAACAACATACAGTGCTCAACCACTTGCACTGTTATGGGGCAGACTCCATCAGTTGGGAGATGGACACAACAGGCAATGCTAAATAAGCACGAAGCAATTATGTGTTGATTTTACTTAATTCCCTTCATTTGAATACTAATGAAGCTCCTGTTCCCCAAACTGAGAGTTCCCACTGTAACCATGCATGCAATTCAGAGTCAAATAACCCTCAGCCTGGACAAAAATGAGTCTTTAGAGCTCTCAGTGGAGTCAAGATCATGGTCCAGTTGTGAGTGCTCCTACACATGTTCCTGACCTTTCCTCTGGACAACAGTACTATCTCCAAGCACTCTTCACCACCTTTCCCCGCTGCTCCTTGAACTCCTTTTTCCTCTTCATGAAGCACATATTAAAGGAAGGCAGACTGCTAATAGTGTAGCTTTCTTTTTTACTGTCTGTAAACATATTACTGAATCACCATGCATTTTGTCAATAATTAGCAATAAACATGACTACTTCTCAAACAGAAAACTGCACTATGCTTCCAACTATTCTGTTAGTCTGAAAAGAACAATATTTTTAAACACTTTGCTACTAATGGTTTCTAATGTTCGGTAGAATCCAGAAGAGTCTGTGAACTGGAGCTACCTGGTACTGTGCTGGAGAGCAGATGCGGAACCATACTGACATTCTATAACTGAGTATGAACCTCTTTGCAGACAGAGCAGGCAATGTTCAGCCTGGAACTATGTTCAGTTTTCTAAGTTTAATCTATAATTTTTGGATGGAAGCCCAAGCTCACTTCTCAAGGTTGTCTATAAAAACCAACCTCAGAATAACAAACCAAGCTCCGTTAGTTGATGATGCTGCAAACATGAAACAATGAATTTTAACAGTAAATTCCAAGGGCCTGTTGAGGTGTCCGGGTCAGGGCACTTAAGATAGGAGTGACTAAGTCTGTGAGTTAAGAAGTTGAGGAGAAACACATTCAGCTGCACCCTAGGATTTTAATGAGCCTTTAAGAAGAAATAAACTATAAGTAGGTATGCCTGTCAGCTGATGGCACTAGGAAGAAGTATTAAACCCGAGATGCAGGAGCTTTAAGGAGTGGGTAGAGCAGGGGACAATGTCAGGAAGGCTTCCGCTGGTGTGGTGGTTTGGAGAGGTTTGGCCCCCAAAGACTCTTGTGTTTGAATGCCTGGCCATATGGAATGGCACGATTAGGAGGTGTGGTCCTGCTGGGGGAAGTGTGTCACTATGGGGGTGAGCCCTGAGGGCCCCTGCGCTCAAGCTCTGCCCAGTGTCTAACAGTCTCCGCCTCCTTCAGATCATGAGCACCATGTCTTCCTGCATATTGTCATGCCTCCCGCCATGATCACAATGGACTGGGCCCCGGAAACTGTAAGCCAGTCCCAAATAGATATTTTATGTATAAGAGTTGCCTTGGTCATTGTCACAGCAATAAAACTCTAACTAAGACAACTGGCTAGAGCACCCTGCGAATCTTACTAGAGACTGATCCCTTCATTCTTTTAAGTTGGCCAAGAGAGAAAACAGTAACATTATAGTATTTGAGTTTATAACAAACTGCTAGGCTTCAAATATATACAACCTAAAAATTTAAAGAATGGTCTCCCCAAGGCTCAGCGTGGCCACAAACTAGCCTTCCTTCTGCCCCAGTCTTTCGAGTGGCTAGTATTATAGGTATGTGGCTTAGAAAGTGGTTTGTTTTTCCTGTTAAAGTATGTCCTTTATATTTTTGATAAATTACATAAAATGTGTACTTATTTTAGTCATGTGGCCAAACCACCTTCTAAAATAGTCACATTTATGCTCATAGACCTCAGCCTTGGTGGAAGAAGATTGTTTTCACAGTGGCTGCAGTTATGGCAAAGACGCAGAATTTGCAGGTACTGAACACAAGAGACCGAGTGCTCAGCCCTACATCGGACAATTTTACCAACACTTCCTCTCAACTCGAAGCTTCAGGGAATGCCATGGAAGAGGAGGAAGAATATAAGAGCCAGAGGATGGGAGATATGCTATAGAACGCTGTCTTTTGGACATGACCAAGATATCACACTCACAAACTCACGGATGCTGTGCTAATACAAAGGGTCAATCCAGCCAAAATCCAAATCCCATGCATGGGTGGATGATGGGCTTCCCAGGTCCCACCCCTCAACGAGAAGCTACTGGCACTGGATGAGTGCTGAGGGAGGGAGAATCACTCTTTTCTGAGGTTGTTTCCACTGGTAAGGTTCCTATGTCAACTGTCTGGACCCATATCCATGCACATATGGGTCTAAAAGGACTAAAAGGACTAAAAGTGCTAAAAGGACTCAGATGATCAGAAAAGATGAAAAACGAGAAGAGACATGAAGTTGAGAGAGGGGCATGATTGGAGGTGGACCCGGGGTAGTTAGAGAAGTGGGAAGGTTGATATAATCCTATTTCATTGAATGCATGTATAAAGTTCTCAAGATAAAGAAAAATATAATTAAAAAATAAGAGCAAAACATGCATGCATTTTTATCATACAATATTTTATTACCATGCAATGCTAATTTATTGTGATTACATATTACTTTACTTGAAATACTTGAGAATTATTTCTTACAGAGTAAAATTAATACTTTGAGTTGTGTTATATTCTTCCCAAGAATTTTTGCATTTTTAGCAGTACATGTTCTTAGCTGAAAAACACCGCATTAGTTGAATATTTTCCCGTGTATTCTTACCTCCATAGTAGGTGGGGTCTTCCTTGTTCTTCTAATCCATGCTAGAAGGAAAAATAACAGTTAAATGTCTGTTTTTCATCATTTATCTAAATTAATTAATGCAATTTGTTTGTACAGGGGTGCCTAACAGTATGTGTGGAGGCCCGAGTCGGTTCTGCCCTCCACCGTGTGGGTCCCGGGGACGGAACTCAGCTTGACAAGCTCAGTGGTGCGAGCTTTCACCTGCTGAGCTATCTTGCTGCCCACACATAAACCTGGCTCCCTCACGCCTGTAAGGTATTTTTGAACATCCTCGATGCACTGTCAAACACGGGAGCTTTGGCCAGGAGGTGAGCAGACGAGGTGTCTCATCCACTGCAGAGCACACACCAGTGAAGTGGGGAACAGGAAATAATCACACACATGTATAAAGTCGGACAGTGATCCATGTTGTGGGAAAAAAAAAAAGACTAGAATGCCAGGAGGGCAGTTTCCTATCTCCAAAATCACAGCTCCGAGTCATCTGAATCCAGTGTCCTCTATCTAAGGCATAAAGGCAAAGCACAGCAAAGTTCAAGGCAATGTCAAAATTACGTTATTCTGAAAATCTGCATTTGTAACTATCCAATTTATCAAGGACTCAGAAGCCTTTGTCCTCATCTGCTGTAGTCAGCGGCTCCCTTCTCTTCACTTTAAGGCTCACAGTGTGGAGGGGGGGAGGCAAGTGACTGAGGTAGTGCACAGAATGGTTAAGCACCTACTGCGTAGACACTGTAACAAAGGGAAGGGGCGGAGCAGCTGCCTCCAGAAAAGCTGCAGAGCATGGTCTAGAATCAGACTTTCAACTCTACCACTTCCTACCTATCTTGCCCAGAATAACCTGTTTAATTTTCTAAGCATTAGGTTTCCTTCTAAAATGGAAATTATAATGGCATCTACAGTGAATGGTTGTTATAACAACTATTTACATATATATTCAACTCATTGCTTAGCATATAAATATATAAATTTATTCCTACTATTCAATTTTATTCAATATACCATGCTTGTTCTATTCTGTTTTGTTTGAGACAGGGTCTCACTGTATTGCTTCGGCTGGCATGCAACTGACCATGTAGCCTAGGCTAGCCCTGAACTCAGAGATTTTCCTGCCTCTGCCTCACAAGTGTAAGATTAAAGGTGTGTCACACCCAGCAAAGACCCAATAGCATTTGCTTGTCCTGTAAGGATCTATAGGAGATTCAGGAAAAAAAAAAAAAAAAAAAAAACTGTGGGAAATGTATAGTCTTTAGAAAATAAGGAAAAAAAGTGTTTTCTAATTTTAGTTGATTTGATCTCTATAAAACTGTGAAGTTCCCTACTTTATAGAAAAATAGATAGATAGATAGATAGATAGATAGATAGATAGATAGATAGATAGATAGATAAAATTTCCAGGTTTGAAGATTAAGTAGTAACGGTGGGGCTGAATCAGATCTGCTCCTTTTTCTGGCTCTAACACCTACCATGCTTTCCTAAGCCGCCTGTCAAAGCTTAGCAGCAAAGGGCACCAAAGGAGGAGGGCTAGCTGCAAGCCTAACCATGTCAGAAAGGAAAAATCATCGGCCCCACTCCATACAGCAGGGAACAGAGGCTCAGACAGATCGAGCAACATGCTCATGACTATATAATTAGTGAGGAGCAGGCTGGGAGCTAAATGTGATGAACTGGCTGGGCAGCAGTCAGCTGAGTAGACACCGCTGTTCAAATCAGCTTTACCATTTTTTCAAATCAGCCATTTTTCCATACAAATAGCAGTCTCTGACCTACCTTTCTGCAAAGTCTAGTTCTGCACAGTGTGGATGTGGAAGCAGAACATTCCGCTGCGGGCTGGAATTACTGGCCCTCGCTGTGCTCTCCTGCACTGCCGTGTGTACACATAAAAAGGTTCCGTGTTCTGCACCCTCTACTCTGTTTCTGAACCCTTTTACTTTTTCTGCATTCTCTTTTTACTATTCTTAGTTTCTGTTGAGGCCATTTGAACCAAAGCTTGCACAGATTTTATATGACTAGGAGGTTGTGCAGGCCAGGGTGCACCAACAGGAGATTTATCTTTCCATCATGGGAATGCCTTGAGAAAGTAGGCACTTGCTGACTACACGCCCTATATGTGCATAAATTCACTGTTAGAGTTCTTGCCCATTAGAAAAATTGGCTTAGTAGCATCAAAACTCCTCTATGCAGTCAAGGAAAAGAAGTGATTTACAATATTTTCAGTTGCTTCTTAATGGCTAAGCAAGTTATTTATGTTTGTCAATTTTTTCCCCGAGGAAAGAGGTGTGATTGAAAAACATTCAGTATAAGTCTTATACCTCTAAAAAGTTTAAATAAATCTTCAGCTTTAATTTACATTAAGAAAGTTAGTTCAGAACAATCAACTGGCAGGACAGTGTTCAGCAAATTTGAGACTCAAGCTAAATTCAGTCTTTACATCTTTGCATGGCTTTTAAAAAAATGTCAAAAGATGCATATTTCATGACATATGAAAATTATAAGTAACTCAAAATTTCAGTGTCTATAAATAAAATTTTATCGAAACACGGCCATACCAATTTGTATCTATGGTTACAGCAGCAGAATTGAGCAACTGTAATAGCCCAAGTGACCCACAAAGCCCAAAATACCATCTGGTCCTTTTCAGGAAATGTGTGCCAACCCCTGGGGCTGTCATTTAGTACAATCCGCTCAGCAACAAGTATATATCTGATGCAAACCACGACCATGACGCCTAAAGCAAACATCATGATGAGTTATTACATATTTTACTAATGGTCACTGTATATTCTAGAATCTATAAATACATACCAGTGGCATCAAATTGTGATGAGAAAGTGCAAAGGCATAATGCATTATCATCATGAGAAAACACCACAAAATAACTTGTTTTACTGTTGAATCTACAAATCAGCGTTTTCAGATCCCTTCCAAGATTGGAAAAAGATGTTTTAATGAATGCAGAACATAAAAAAAAAAAAAAAAAAAAAAAAAAAAAGGAAAGAAATTCTCCTGTAGTTTTCAGTGCTTGGCAACTGAACCCAAGGGCCTTGCACATGCCAGGCAAGCACTGTACCACCAAGCTACACCCCTACTACTCATTTTAAAAGGTTCTAAAAAAGGTAAAGACACTGGAGGAAACTACATCTAAACATTTAAACTACATCTTTAAATGTTAAACATTCAAAAGAACATTTTATGACATAAAATTATACAGAATTAAAAATTTTTAGTTTTCAAATCATATTGTATTGAAACGTGCATTTATTTGTTCAAAGTTTCTAATATCCCATTTATAAGCTTCAGAATTTAATAGAGCCCAGATGCTGAGTGTTGAGTGGCACCTAGTCACTGTCATAGTACCTTTTTCTCTAAGGAAGGACAGAGGGTGTCCCTAACTATCTTGGCTTTAAATAGATTTGTAGCTGTGACTGCTGCAGTAAGCTTGTGTATTTATGATTCTTCAATATCCAGATACTGAAACATCTTGAGATGATGCCTGATGGCCCTACTGTTTGTTATGCATCCAGTAAAGACCACTGCTGGATATGCTCCATGTGATCCCTCATTTTGACAGACAGACCAACTTCCTCAGCTGCCACAAGCCACAAAGACATGTCCTGATGAGAGCCAACAAAAAGCAAAAAGAACAGGGAATGGAAAAAGCAGTAATATTGAAGCATGATTTTTAAATCTCAAAACAATCTAAACAGAACCTCTATCCAATTATTAATCATAAAGTGATCTTACTATTGGTAAAATGTCTGTAAGGTGATTTCTGTACTGGTCTTCTTTATAATGTCACCATGGTTTAAAGAGAATTCTGTAAAAGGACTGGGCAGTTGAAGCCTTAATGTCCTAGGAGTCTTTCATCAGTGCTCATTTGCATTCTCATCACTATGCATGAAATACCTATTGGCACATACCAAGTATATTGAGTATAAAAATAAGCATGCAAATTAAGGCTCCCATTAATCACGTAAAGACCACAAGAATCAGGGAGAAGAATACTTCGTGAGGCCTATTTTCCTCAAATCTCTACAGGCATCAGGATCCTTCTAGAAACACTCCAACCATCTATGGTGAATTAGATATCCTGCCACCAGGTGAGTAGGTGAACAAAATCAAAAGTATTTAAGAAGTTAACAACTGTTTGCACCAAAAATATCTTAATTTGGAAAGAGATGCTTACTTCACCTAAAAAAGAGACTTTGATAAAGCCTCATAATTAAAAAAGAAAGCAAGCAAAACAGCAAGGAAAAAAAAAAAAAACGATCTTCGCCCCTTCTGAGTATTGGCACTTCATTAAAATAACCAACCAAACAAGCAAATAAAATAAAGGTACATTTCCCCCCCAAGTATGAGAAATTCTTCAAAAGACATATTGGGAAAAGAGAGAGTAGTTTTCTGGTAATTGAACTTTAAGTATATCTTACAGATATACAAGAATTATCTGGTGACCTTTAGTATTCAGGGTGGCTTCTCAAATATGCAGTAAAAACTTAAGCTTCATCCTAAAACTGCAAGGAACTGAATGCTGCCAATAATCATCCAGGTGGGAAGGCAGATCGTTGCCTGGCTGGCACCTTGATCACAGTCTCACAAGATCCTCGCTAGAGAAGCCAGCTAAGCTGTCTGGGATCCTGACTCACAGAACCTCAGGGATGATAAACGCATGCTGTCTGGAGTAGCTACACAGCAAAAAGGAAACCAACAAGGCAGGCTGGTCAGTTTATTCTTGTATTGCTCTGCCTTACTCCATTGCACGGAAACAGGACAATTTGTTTTTGCCACTTAGAACTCGGGTGCTGAAGCTTCCGCAGAGAATTTGGAACCATTATTCGGTAGACAAACATATGTCTTTACATCTCTGGGTAAATATCTAGCAGAATTTCGAAGCTGAGGGGCAGGTGCACGTTCACATTTGCAAAGAACTGATAAGCTACTTTCCAAAGCTGTTGCACTATTTTATATTCCACCCAGCAATTTATAAAAGGTTGAGGGAATTTACAATGATGAGCTATCAGTT